AAGCATTATACCATTTGAGTGTTTTTTAAATTTATTTTATTTTATTTTTTAGTAAATTTTTGTTTGTTTATTTATTTATGGCTGCGTTGGGTCTTCGTTGCTGCACGCGGGCTTTCTCTAGTTGCGGCAAGCGGGGGCTACTGTCATTGCGATGGCTTCTCTTGTTGTGGACTCTAGGTGCAAGGGCTTCAGTAGTTGTGGCACGTGGGCTCAATAGTTGTGGCTTGCGGGCTGTAGAGCGCAGGCTCAGTATCTGTGGTGCATGGGCTTAGTTGCTCCGTGGCATGTGGGATCTTCGCAGACCAGGGCTCGAACCTGTGTCTCCTGCATTGGCAGGTGGATTCTTAACCATTGCACCACCAGGGAAGCCCCTAAGTGTTTTTTTTTTCTAAGTGTTTTTTAATAGGAAAAACCACTCAGTTACTAAATAGAAATAGCTGGTATGGGTAGCTTGAAGTTCAAAATGTGAAAGAGAACTGTTGAGGAGGAAACTTGAGAGGTTAATGCCCGTGGACTTATGTGTACCCTCCACCGTCACCAGAAAACAGCTGGTAGGATGTGGGAGTAGAGTGTGGCCGTGGTGTCTGTCATCAGAATAACCCATTAAAATCGGTGAGTCTACACCATCGATAATCATCAGGGAAATGCAAATCAGAACCACAATGAGACACCACCTCACACCTGTCAGAGTGGCTATCATCAAAAAGTCCACAAATAACACATGTTGGCGAGGATGTGGAGAAAGGGAAATCCTCATGCACTGTTGGTGGGAATGTAAATTGGTGCAGTCACTGTGGAAAATAGTATGGAGGTTCCCCCAAAAACTAAAAACAGAACTACCATACAATCCAGCAATTCCACTCCTGGGTATATATCCAAAGGAAATGAAAACACTGATTTGGAAAGATACATGCATCCCAATGCTCATAGCACTGTTTACAATTGCCAAGATATGGAAGCACCTGAGTCCATCAACAGATGAATAGATACAGAAGATACGGTGTATACACACACACACACACACAGACACACACACACACACACACACACACACACACACACACACAGTGGAATACTACTCAGCCATAAAAAAGAATGAAATTTTGCTGTTTGCAACAACATGGTTGGACCTCGGGGGTATTATGTTTAGTCAAGTAAGTCAGAGAGAGAAAGACAAATACTGCATGTTATCACCTACATGTGGAATCTAAAAAATACAACAAACTAATGAATATAACAAAAAAGAAACACATATAGAAAACAAACTAGTGGTTACCAGTGGGGTGAGGGAAGGGGAGGGGGCAAGATAGGGGTAGGGGATTAAAAGGTACAAACTACTATGTATAGAATAAGCTATAAGGATATATTGTACAGCACAGGGAATATAGCCAATATTTTAGAATAACTATAAATGGAGTCTAACCTTTAGGAATTGTGAGTCAGTATCTTGTACACCTGAAATTTATATAATATCGTAAATCAACTATATCTCAATTAAAAAAGAAAATTCCTTGGGGGGAAATCGGTGAGTCCAATTCTGGCCTAATTAGATTCTGTACCTTAGTTGTTAAGACATAATATCGTGGTATTGGGGAAAGATTGGTGGATCAGTTAGATTAATTCAACAAGCTGCTTGTTGATTGATTGGGTGCTAGGCAAGCACTGCATTCTGAAGCTGGGGAAGGGACGACTCTCCTGCTGAGTTCATGTGAATGACCTAACACCAGGATCCCGGGGATGCAGAGAGCACAGAGGACAGAGAGCCGTGGGGGGGGGGGGGCGGGCTGACCGTTGACGTGAGTGAGTCGGGTCGTGGGGGTCGTGGAAGAGTTGCGAGGGAGCACTGAGCTTGGAGAGCAGCCGTGCAGAGGCCTAAGGCTAGAGCGGGGACGCTGGTGTGTGAGGGGGGGCTCAGGAGGCCAGCGGGGCCGAGGGGGCGTTTGGAGGGGTGTGATGGGAGTTGCACTTCAGAAAGGTCAGACAGGTGCAGCGTGGGCTGTGGGCTGGACGAGAGAGATGGAAGGAGGCAGACCACTTGGAAGACGGTGGAGTCCAGACAGGAAATGGTGGGGATCTGAGGGAAGGTGGAGGAAGAGAAAGGAGTGGACCCAGAGGCATAGCCGTAAGGTGAAGTCATAGTCCTGGAGGTGCGGCGGTGCTGGCAGTGATGTGAACACTGCTGGCTTGGGGGACTGGAAACGAGAGTGGAGAAAAGGGGAAACCTTCAGGGGCCAGAGGAAAGTGGGAAGTTTAGTGCTGAGGCTGCAGGCAAGACGTCTTTGGCCCTTCTGGGTCCTCGTCCGAAATGAAGGAGAAGAAATCACCTTCAGGCACCTGCAGGTCTGAGGTGTGAAGTCTGGGATTTGACATCCTTTGGTTTGGTTAGTGGTATAACTGAATGATAGTGTTATTCCTGTTTTCCAGGGCAAATGACTCAGCTTTGTGAACTGATCAACAAGAGTGGGGAGCTCCTTGCGAAGAACTTATCCCATCTGGACACCGTGCTCGGGGCTCTGGATGTCCAGGAGCACTCCTTGGGAGTCCTTGCTGTTCTGTAAGGGCGTTTTCCTCTATGATTTTGTGCACGCTGAACCTCAGCGCTGCACTTTCTGGCTTTGGGGTTTTTTGTTGTATGCAGTAAGCCCTGGAAATGACAGTGAGCTCTTTTGCACAACTGAAGTCACGTTGTAGTAGTTACCTTTAACTCGATGCGGCTAATCATTGCTTTCATTTTTATTTATTTTACTTTTTAAAATTAATTTCTGTTGGGGTATAGTTGCTTTACAGTGTCGTGTTAGTCTCTGCTGTATAGCAAAGTGAATCAACTATACACATATTCCCTCTTTTTTAGATTTCCTTCCCATTTAGGTCACCACAGAGCATTGAGTAGAGTTCCCTGGGCTATACAATAGGTGCTTTTATATTTTGTTCTGTTTTATCATCTTTTAAAACTCTTATGTTTATACACATTTTGAAATGTATTTTAAAAAATGAATGGCCATCTCAGTTGAGGGCGCTGTAGTTTGCGTTTATCTGAGTACTTCTATTCACGTAGTCCATTGGATTCTCCCCATTTTCTAACTTAGAAAGAAAAGAGGGAAGAGTGACAGAACAGGGCACAGGGGCTATACCGAGGGAAGTTACCAGTGATCCAGAGCAGCCTGGCTTCCAATTCCCTTCAGACAAGTTGAAGCTGGTTTTTTTTCCCCCTTTTTAAAAAAGCTATAGTTGCTGTACAGTTTAAGCTGTTTTAGGGCCAAGTTAAATAGACGTTATTTCAATTGGTCTGTTGAACTCTTGTGACTCTGCGTCTTTGACAGTTGAATTCTTTTCTCTTGACGTTGTAGTGCTATAAATCGGGATTTTGTGGTTGTTATGAAAGTTGAGGTAATGGAAGTAAACCGAGAAGAAATTGACCTAAAGTGAGGGTCTGGCTCCACTTGCACTGAGGTTCTGAGACAGGTATGCGTCAGGAGGAAGGTGCCGTCGGAACACGGGCGGCCAGTAGCTCATGTGCCTGTTTGAATGTAAATCTTTATGGATGAGTGAAGTGAAAGGTCCAGTTCCTCAGTTGCACTTGCCACACCCCAAGGGCTCAGGAGCTGCCTGTAGCCACTGTTTCAGACGATGCAGATGTGGAGCAGGGCCTCCGCTGCAGGAGGTTCCGCGGGTTGGGATGGCTGGGGAAGATTTCTGCCGCCTGTGGTTTCCGATTAAAAGAACAGAAAGCATGATTTGTACACACGTCAGCATACGCGGATGCGCATGTCAAGTGAGGTGATGTGTGTGGAAGCTGTTTGAAACGAGAAGGCGTTTTACGTTGTATATCAGTTAAAGGAAACCTGGGAAGAGCCCCGACCTTGTTTCCAGGTCCCCTGGGTTTGAATCTATGTTCTGCTGACTATGAGGTTTGAGGCCCTGAGCTTCATATTTTTATTTATAAAATGGACATCACAATGCCTTACTGACCTATTGTGAAGCCCAAATGAGATTGTTTGGACACATTTTGATACTTGGAAAGTGTAATTACAGATGTAAGGTGGCATTGTTAAGTAATACTATATAGATGGAAGTACAGATTGAAAGATGGAGAAATTGTCATTAGGCAATAATACCCATCTGATTTTTCTTGAAATGAGTTTAAACCATTCAGTTTTTTGTTCTATTTAAAGAAGAGCTTGCAGTTTACGTGTAAGCAGCGCCTAAGTGGTGGTAGCTTATGTGATTCCTCCCTCGAAACCTCTCCGACCCCCCTTGGTGTTTACGATGGCACTTGGTGGCATCATCTCCCAGGTGGCTCGGCACGGGCCACCTGCCTGAGTCGTCCCTCTTCTCAGCGCTCCACTCCTTCCGGGCCTGCCCTGCAGCTAGTTTTTCTCCCAGGTCACCCAGCATCCCCTGGGTCCTGGGGCAGCACCGTGACCATGAGCCGCTGCCGTGGCCTCCGGCCAGCCCGTAGCTTCAGTGTGTTCTGCTCAGGCAGGAGAAGCCCACAGCGGGTTTCTAGGCGAATAAAGCAGTACTGAGCACATTGGACTGCTAAAGAAATCTATTTTTAAAATTTTTTGGTTATGAGTTTATATTCAGTTACTTCACGAGTATCAGGACAACCTGATATTTGGCCTCATTTGACGGAGTTTTCTTTTTTGAAAGTTCTTTTTTGGTTGCATTTTATTTCTTGCCTAACTGCTCTGGGTAAAAGTTGTTCTTTTTTAAGCATATTTTTCTTAACCTCTATTTGTGTCCATGTTCTGTGTCTTGACTGTGCAGAGAACCAGGCCGGGAGAATCTCACAGATTCCAGTTCTTCATTTTTAAAAGTACTGTGACTCCTTTAACTTCACAGAGCATTGGAGGCAGGACGGACAGACGGACGGACGGACTTCTCCGTTTCCCTGTGAGACGCCAGGACAAGTTGCTTCTTTTCTCTGTGTTGTAGGTTTGTGAAGTTTTCTATGCCCAGCGTTCCTGACTTCGAGACGCTGTTCTCACAGGTTCAGCTCTTCATCAGCACTTGTAACGGGGAGCACATTCGCTATGCAACAGACACCTGTAAGGGGAGCAGCTTTTTCTTCTTTTCCACGGAATGTATTCTACCCTGTAGTCATTTATATTTTCAATATTTTATTATTGTTGTGTCTAGTTGCTGGGCTTTGCCATCAGCTAACAAATGCACTTGTGGAAAGAAAACAGGTAAGAATGTTATTTGAGTATTTATAGTTCTGTTTCGCACGCCTCTAACCTGCACAGTGCGCTGAGTGTAAGGGTTCCAGCCTGGTGTTGAGACCCTAATGCTCGGATGTACGTGGTCGCTGTGGAGAGCTCAGAGCATCCACTGTGGGGCTCTGACCACAGAAGTGGTGCCTCAAGGGGGAGGCTGCTGCTTGTGTTTGGAACTGCCATTCTAGCACCCTTGTGCTGTAAAATGCCGCTTTTTTGTTTGTTAAACCTTTTAACTTGCAATTATGACATAATTTTAGCTTTACAAAAAAGTTGTTAGGTTAGTATACTTAATTGCCATAAGTGCCCTTCACCCAGAGCCCCCAGCTGTTAGCGTCTCACACCCAGAGCCCCCAGCTGTTAGCGTCTCACACCCAGAGCCCCCAGCTGTTAGCGTCTCACACCCAGAGCCCCCAGCTGTTAGTGTCTTACCATACTTGTTCATTCTTTTCTCTTTTTCCTGAGCCCCGGAAAGAAAGTTGCAGATGCGATGCCTGAGTGCCTCAGCGAGTGTTTCTTAGAAATTAGGACAAATTAAGACGTTCTCTTGCATGAGTGCAGCACGCTGACCAACATGAGGAGATGAGCACTGACCGACTCCTTTAGCAGATCTGACCTGGTTCCGATTTTACCAGTTGTTTCACTGATATCTTTTATAACAGAAAAGTCTCAGATCACGGGTTGAATTACATTGTTGTGTGTCTTTAGTTTCCTTTAATCTGGTAAACTCTTTATTTTTTGTGATATTGACACAAGTTGTAATTTGTAAGTTTCTTTTTGATTTGAAATTCAACTTTAAGACTAGTGTAAAAGAGTCTGAAAACAAAGAACCAGTTGGTATTTTGTGGGAGCACTACGTAATTATTGTTTGAGGGAGATGGTTAATCCCAAGTCTCTACTGAAAAAACATGTTAAGCTCCTCAGCTATTTTATGGTCACACCTCCTCTCCAGAAGCTGACTGCACCTCGTGTGGTTCTTGGTCTTGTTATTCATGGTCAGGGCAGGAAAACGGTCCGTTTGTGCTTGGAACTGCCATTCTGGCGCCCCTTGTGCTGTAAAAGGGGCTTGTGGTATCACTCTCAACAGCAATTTACCACCAGGTAAGAGATGTTGCTGGAGAGAATTTACAGGTGACACCTAGACTGCCCTGCGGGACAATGCCAACATCCTTATCCACAATTCAGTCTCCTAAGCATAGGTCTCATCTGTTGTAAATAATTTGTAAAATTTTTGTTTAGCTGTAAGTATAATGAACTCTTGAGAGTGTAATGTTGCTTTTGATTATTGATCTCCAATAATTAGAAAAAGCTTTATGATTTAAAAAGTTGTGCTGAATTACTCTACATATCACAATAAACAGCTTAAGACAACATTTTCTGACTGAATAGGGACAGAAGTTTCGTGAGAGGCTGTGGGACCCTCCTCTTGTGGTTTAGAAGAGCCCATCAGTATGTTACTTTCGTTTCTAAGTGACAGCCTAGGACCCAGCGTGCTGACAGGTGTCCTTTCCGACAGCCCCTGCGCGGAATCGGCGTCCTTAAGCAGGCCATTGACAAGATGCAGATGAACACAAACCAGTTGACCTCCGTCCATGCTGACCTTTGCCAGGTGAGCAGCGAGGGGTTGCCCCGAGTCACGGTTGGACTTGGTGAAGATGGCGCTGTGTTCTAAGCCTCGGAATGTGTAGCTGCCCCTGTTGCTGGGAAGGGAATCTTGGGGCTACTGAGCGCAAACCGTCGACTGAGGCCCAGCTAGTCAGCTCGTGATGTGGGGGCAGGTGGGGTGAGTAGCGCTTGTGACCTTAACAATCCCAGTAAGGAGCTCTGGAACCTGAGGACGAACCAGGTGACTTCTTACACTTCAAAGTGTTGTTCATGTATTTATTTTATTTTGTGTGACTCCAAACCCAGATGGCAAAGGGCGGTGGGTATATAACGAAGCCCGTCTCCCACCTACTGACTGGCCACCCATCCCTTCTCTCCAAAGGAAACTGGAATTAGTAGTTTCTTAGGCATCCTTCCAAAGATGGTTTATGCACGTATAAGCAGATATGTTTATATTTGTCCTCTCTAGTTTTTTAAACACAAATGCTAATCTATACAATGTCTTATGTACCTTGCTTTTTTCTTACTGTGTCTTGGAGATGATTCCATGTCAGTGCTTTACAGCTGCAGAGAATTCCATAACATGGGTTTAGCCAGTCCCTGTGGGGTATCTAGGTTGTTTCCTTAATGAATAGCATGGTATGTGGATTATTTCAACCACATGTTCTAATTTCACATGGAGACGTGCTCTCTTTTCTCTTTATTTATTTATTTATTTATTTTTTGGCTGCGTTGGGTCTTTGTTGCAGTGCGCAGGCTTCTCATCGTGGTGGCTTCTCTTGTTGCGGAACAGGGGCTCTAGGCGCACGGGCTCTAGAGCGCAGGCTCAGTAGTTGTGGTGCGCAGGCTTGGTTGCTCTGCGGCATGTGGGATCTCCCCGGACCAGGGCTCAAAGCCGTGTCCCCTGCATTGGCAGGCGGATTCTTAACCACTGTGCCACCAGGGAAGTCCCCTCTTTATTTCTTCTAAAAAACTTTTGTGATGGAGGTGTGACATACATACAGTAAAGTGTGCAGATCTCGGGTGTACAGTGCGTGCCCTGTGCCACATCACCCAGACACAGAACTTTGCTGGATCTTGCTTTCTTGAGCTGCACATTCCCTACACTTACCTGAAGGGTTCAGACATGGAAAAGCAGTGATTGGAGAGAAACTGTTCTTACTTCACCAGGTCAGTGAAGAGAAAAGGTCACACTTGTCATGCATCTGTAAATAGATGGACTTTGCTTCATACGTGGAGCCCTTTATGTCATAGCTGGTTAGTCTTTTCTAAAGAAATGCTATTGTATTCTGAATGCCTAAGAAAATGGAATAACGTGCTGACATTTAGATCATTTTAGTCAATAAAATGTAAAGCCAGTTATTTTCTAGAACTTTGCGGAATCTGCTCTTTCTGCTAAAGCCGAAGTGCACCTAGAGTGATGGCTTCACGTCAATGTTTCCACAGCTGTGTCTGCTGGCGAAGTGCTTTAAGCCCGCCCTCCCGTACCTGGACGTGGACATGGTGGACATCTGCAAGGAGAACGGGGCCTACGAGGCCAAGCACTTCCTGTGCTACTACTACTACGGCGGGATGGTCTACACCGGGCTGAAGAACTTCGAGCGGGCACTCTACTTCTACGAGCAGGTAGTCGGCGCTCCCCCGGGGGCATATGAACTTGCAGGCTGGCGGCTGGAGCTGCAGGGGAGGGTCCTTTCAGAGGCCGTTTCCCTGTGGCCAGGGGCGCAGGGCAGGGGAGGGATGGGCACTGTGGGGCAGGCCGACCAGGCTTTGCCACGACCCCCGTCTGGTTTGGGTTGAGTTGTGCGTGTCTCTTGACTTCGTAGCTTCCTTTGTGTGTGGGGAAGGGATGGAACCGAGTGACCTTTGACGCATCTTCTTGTTCTGAAACCAGATGTGACGTTCGGTTAAGTTTTTCTTTCTTTCATTGTTTTTTTTTGGCTGCACCGCGTGGCCTGTGGGATCTTAGCTCCCCGGCCAGGGATTGAGCCCAGGGCCACAGCAGTGAAAGCGCTGAGCCCTAACCACTGGACTGTCAGGGAACTCCCGAGTTTTTGTTACTTTAATAAATGAAACATTCTTCTGGTCTGTAATTCAAAGGGGGTGAAGGAGTACACAGCGAAGAGTGCCTCCCACCTTTGTGTCTGTGTAATGAGACATATTGCGCAGCTCTGCAGCTTCACTCAGGGTCTAACAAAGATAGACAGTGCTGGCTAAAACCAGTGTTTTAGGATAAATTTGCCAGATGTCCATAAGTTGTTTCATTCAGAGCACATGTTCAGGTGATAAAAGACATTCCAAGCCTCAGAGGCGCTCATGGTGTATTTGAGGTGCTGTAGAAGCCCCCGCACAGACCTGTGAGTGGGTGTCGCCTCAGTGAGCGGGAGCTGGCCAGCATTGCTGGGGGCCTAGGGCAGGGTGACCACGGGTGCTGTTGGCAGGGGCGATATCTTTCAAGGACGTGACTCGTCAGGTAGGACCTTCCAGGGGACTACATTGACCGTACGGTCACAATCTCAGTTCCTCAGAAAACTGCGAGCACACACCCGCAGCGACTGAACGCGCGGTGGCTCTGCAGCCTGGCAGAGGTGGGATGAGCCCGCCGATGGTCTAGGGGCGCCGAGACACGGGCGCGCGGCAGGAGGGTGCGCGGTCTGTCACAGAGTTGAAATGTCAAAGACACAGCGTGTTCACGTTTACAGCTAGAAGGCTTTTACCTGATAATCCACATAGTCCTTCTTTAGCCCAAGTGACAGTCTGCTTCATGGCGCTGTCTCTTCATGACGTACATCAGTTCCAGGTAGTATTAGTACCTTAATTTCAGGAGGTGACACAGATTTTGTTTTACTGCCCTTTTAAAATCCAAAAGAAGGATGTACTTAGTGAAAAACATTCAGATCACGCAGCATTATATAAAGTAAAGAGTGAAAGTAGCCGCCTCCTCTTACCCCGTGCCACAGGTGGCCCTGGCAGTCCACTAGCCCCCGGTCGGCGTGGTACTCTAAGCAGGTTTGGTGCTTCGCCATTAAAGCAGTGCTGCGTGTGGATCGTGGCACTTGTGTTCTTCTGCACTTGCATGAGTGTTTCTGCTGAATAATTCTCAGAAGTGCCTTGTAGGCTCAGTGGCTTGGATTTTGATTTGGAACATTTGGGCTGATGTGGGTGTGATAGTTTTGAATTCTTAACCCTCATGAATCCAGGTGAAAAAAGGTGGAAAGGCAGCCTCAGGATGGGAGGAAATATCGGCAGATCACATTTCTGATAAGAGACTTACATCCAGAATATACAAAGATGTCTTAAAACTCAACAATAAAATTTTAAAAATGGGCAGTGGGTTTGAATAGACATTGCTCTAAAGAAGATAGACAGATGGCTAAAAGCACTCGTCATCAGGGAAATGCAAATCAAAACCACAGTGTGATACAAGTCACACTAGGATGGCTGAAGTTAAAAAGAGAGCCAGTAACGTGTCGATGAGGATGTGGGGAACTCAGAGCCCTCGTGACTGCCAGCGGGGTGCACAGTGGTGTGGCCGCTTTGCAAATAGTTCTGCGCTTCCTCGAAACGTTAAACCTACAACTTCCAAATGACCTGGCACTTTGCTCCCAGGATTGCACCCGAGGGAAGTGAAGACAGATGTCCACTCAGATCCATACATGAATGTTCACAGCACCATGATGATTCACGTGGCCAGACGCCCGCCAGCTGAGGATCTGAGTACACAGAAGGTGGGGCACTGTTGGCCCATGACACAGATGAGGTCCTGACACAGGCCACTGCAGGGTGTGCCCTGAAAATGTCACCTCAAAGCTGCTCACGAAAGACTACATGAAGCCATTTATGGGACCTCCCTGGTGGTCCAGTGGTTAGGACTCCGTGGTCTCACTGCCGAGGGCCTGGGTTCAATCCCTGGTTGGGGAACTGGGATCCCATAAGCCACGCAGCGAGGCCACACACACAGAAAAAAGCCATTTATATGCACTGTCTAGAGTAGCCAAATCCATTGAGATGTGAAGTAGAGGAGTGGTCGCCTGGGGTAGGGGGGTGGGCGGTGACCACTGACGGCCTGGGGTTTCTTTTTAGGGGGTGAAAATGTTCTGAAATTCGGTAGTGGTGATAGTCGCACAGCTTGGTGAAGACACCAAAGCCCAGTGAGTTGGATGTGTTCAAAGGGTAAATGCTAGAGTTATTAAAAGGTAGTGATTTAGTATAAGTGCTCTTTTCCTAATTCAAGCTCCCCTGCTGTCTTCACTCCTGCTCAGGCCATCGCCACTCCTGCTATGGCTGTCAGTCACATCATGCTGGAGGCATATAAAAAGTACATTCTCGTTTCTTTGATACTGCTTGGCAAAGTGCAGCAGCTGCCGAAATACACGTCTCAAATTGTGGGAAGATTCATTAAGGTGAGTTTTTAAAACAGAAGGATTTCCTAGGTGACATGTTCTGTTCATAGGAAATTGTGGTGATGCATAGCTCTGTCATCTTTTTTTTTTTTGCGGTATGCGGGCCTCTCACTGTTGTGGCCTCTCCCGTTGCGGAGCACAGGCTCCGGACGCGCAGGCTCAGCAGCCATGGCTCACGGGCCCAGCCACTCCGCGGCACGTGGGATCTTCCCGGACTGGGGCACGAACCCGCGTCCCCTGCATCGGCAGGTGAACTCTCAACCACTGCGCCACGAGGGAAGCCCTCTGTCGTCTTATTCTGCGGGCCCTAGCTCTCCCGGCACGTTAAATTAGCAGATGCTCACTTGCCGCCTGCTGGGCGTCTGGCAGAGCCCGAACCCTCCCAGTCCGTGCACACCGATCGCCTGACGGACCGCGATGTTCCTAGGAATCTGTTTTCACACTTTTGCTCTGGGTGATCATAGCTGTAGATGTTTAAGGTCCTAGAAAAGCAGTGCTGACTCTGTTGGACTCTCACTTTGACCAAGTGCCGGGGAATCTTATTAGACCCCAAGCGCTGCTCACAGAGCTGCTCTTGTTTCCCTGAGGACTCAGCCCTGGGACCACGTGAAGAAATGACCTACTTTTTTTTTTTTTAAAATAATACATGCTCATAGGGTTTTGGTTTTGTTTTTTTTAAACTGAAGTCACTATCATTCTGATAACAATTTTTTGCTGACCCTCCTTGTACAAAATTCAGAATTTCACTAGATCAGTGTGAGAGTCTTCCTGATGAGAAGATTTCCATGCTGCCTTGTTGAGGGTGGCCCGTGTCCTTCTCTAAGAGCCCGTCGTGCTTCTCAGGCTCCAGGCTTTTAGTCACATACGGGGGCATGGGGGTGGGTAGAAGGACGCGCAGGTTTGGGGAGCTCCCGGGGTGATTGAGGTGGCCCTAGGAGGAGGGCCTTTGTAAGGTGAGGTCCCCATGACTCAGCCTCCTTCCCCACAGTTGTGGTTTGTTGGCGGTGATATCAGAGTGGTGAAGAGGGCACAGGCTTCAGGGTGGGGATGCAGGTTTGAATCCGTGTCTCAGGACCGCGGACCTACTCGTGGGCCTGGGTCCAGTTTCTCACGTATAAGAGAGAGGGGAATGCGTGCACACGTATAAGATAGAGGGGGACGCATGTGCATGTAGTAAGAGGGCAACGTATGTTCACGTAATGAGACGGGAATGCATGCGCACGTAATAAGGGCAACGCATGCTCACGTATGATAGAGGGCAACGCATGCTCACGTAATGAGATAGAGGGGAATGCATGTGCACGTAATGAGATAGAGGGGAACGCATGCTCACATAATGAGGTAGAGGGGAGCGCATGCGATGGTGACAGCAGCACACCTCTGAGTGCGCCCTCAGCCCTGTTGTCTCTGGTCCCCCCAGAAGTAGCGGGTTGTCCCGTTGCACCCGGTGAGGTATGTGTGAGCGGGAGAGGGAACTGAGGAGGGTGGGAATGTTCCTTCTTTCTTCCCAAAGTGGTTTAACAAGAGAGAAATCAGGAGCCCCGATGGAGAAAAGACCTGTGTGCCTTTACTAACTGTGCGTGCTGCACTTGCTGTGCAGCAGTTTGCTCTGTACTACAAAGTGGGTGTTTTTTTTGTTTGACAGTAAACTACTCCATGGTGCATTTCTATCCTTGGTCTTGAAAACTAGGCATTTGCTTTGGGTAAATTATAATTTGTTAGGTAACAGTGAAGGATGTTGAATGTACTTGCTCCAAATTTAGTGCCATGTTTTCTTTTGCGTCTTACACAGGCTCCGTTCCTCTAACTCTCGAATCTGGTTTCTTCCCGCCTGCACACCTTTAGCCTCTTAGCAACGCGTACCACGAGTTAGCGCAAGTTTATTCCACCAACAACCCCTCGGAGCTCCGCACCCTGGTGACCAAGCACAGTGAGACCTTCACTCGCGACAACAACATGGGGCTGGTGAAGCAGTGCCTGTCCTCGCTGTACAAGAAGAACATCCAGAGGCTCACCAAGGTGAGGCCCTGGCCGGGCCCCTCCGACCCTGAGCTCCTTTTCTCCCCTCGCCCCCCCTCAGCGCCGAGGCAGCAGCACAGGGTCTCGTCCTGAGGAAGAGCTCTCCCAGCTGACTCCCTAGGGCACTTTGATGGGTGCTTTTGGTCTTTCCAGTGCTGGGGCAGGGTATTTGAGAAGAGGGACAGGTGAAGGGCAAGAGGTAGGAGATATGGCCACCCTGGGAGGTACAGACAGGGAGCCCGGGGGCGTGGCCATGCTGCTCTGGACCCTGTGGCGGGCTGACGCACGCGGGGGCACAGGGCCAGCACACTGGAGCCGGGGGAGGTGAGCCGATCGTGTATTTTCTATTTTCAAGATGAAAATAAACCTAGTGGCTTTTGATGATGGAAAATACGCTTATTATCAAATGTTAAAACCGCCCAGGAAAGTGTAAAAAGAAAAACGAAGCTCCCCACGAGCCAGGAAGGCGTTTGCTGCAGGCAGTGGTAAACCAACAGAGCAGCGGCGACCGGGACGGTGCGGCTCCTCTCCTGGGGCTTAAGGACGGGGCTGTAGAGCTCCAGGCAGAGGAGGGGAAAGGATGCTGCTCAGTTGATGCGAGGGCCAGGGAGGCTGGAGGGGACCAGGGGGAGGAGGGGCAGCCGGGGAGGCCGCCACTGCACGGGGAGAATTGCTCCTGGAGCAGGAGGAGAGGGAAGGGTCACCGCACACGAGGAGGAGGCCCCTTCCAGACACTCCAGACATCCGTCTGTAAGAGGAAGATGGAGACACGAAAGAGAGAGCACCTCGAGAAGAGGAAAAACAAATGTCCTGTCAGAGAAAAGCCAGCTGGACCCGTAGGCTAAAAAGACCGGACCTAAACGATTCAAGGTGACCAGCAGCTGAATTCTCCCCACAGTGTTTTCCATTTGGCCCAGGTGCCAACACAGCTGCTCTAAGTACAATAAGTTTCTATCTCGCCATCGAGAGGAGCTGCTGGGAAACAGCTGCACCCGTAGGTGACTGGTACTGGGAGTTTAGATGGAAAACCAAAATGTGAACAAGGAGAGAAGACAGTGCACGTTCAAAAAAATGTTAAGTTACAAAATGGCGGATGAGAGTTAAATGAAGAATTAGAACTTGGGGAATCTAGTAAGTAGGCATCACTGCGAAAATCATCAGTTAAACTCTTGTGAAATAGTCAACCCCAGTTCGTCACTTTGGAATCAGTTGATAGCTTATACCGAGAAGTCGGTATGCTTTATATGGAAAGTGCAGTTTTCCATTTTGGATTGGATAAACACGGATCCAGAGTGTGACCAAACAAACATGAAGGGCCTTGGGTGGCCAGTCCAGGGCGGGGCAGTGGCTTCACAGTCACCAGTGTCCTGGTCCTACTGTGCTGACTTACCATTGATTTGAGTCCGCTGGGCTGATAAGCCCTTCCCGGCGGCCTTGGGGGGGCATCACAGCTGCTGGTGGGCAGGGGCGCCGCCATGGAGGATGCGTGGCGTCATGCCGTGGTGCCAGAACAGTAGATGGGGCATCAGAGGATTTTCCAGCCAGGTTAGTAGTCTGCTATTCAAAGGGCAAAAAAATCAGGCTTTTAAAGAAGTCTCAGCAGGTGTACTGTATGTGGGAGTCGGGATGAGAGGCTGCTGCAGGGCCACCAGGGAAATGGGCTTATCATGTGAGGCTCAGATCTGCTCCACGTTCATGTTTTGTGGGCGTCTCTCTAAATCCCTCTGCTCTGTGTGTAGACACCCCATTAACTGTAGTTGGGATCATATTGTATGTGCTGTCCTGTACACTGCTTTTTTCGCTGTCTTCACCTTGTTTCCATGGCAATGTAAGCCTGCACCACAATGACTGTACCTCATACTCTGTTGTACAGATGGTCAAACTCACTCAACCAGTCCTCTTCTGGTAGACATTCCAGTGGAAGTTTCTCCTTATTTTGAAATGGGGAAAAGGACAGTTCCGGGTATTTAGAAATGTTCACTTTTGAGTCCTCATTGGCGCTAAACTACTTAGATACTTCTTAGGATTAACAGTAGTTTCATTTGCAGAGGGCATGCTACTCTTTGAACCAAAGTATATGTATCAGTAGAATTTTCGGTCATTGACTTATCAAGAGTTTTCAACATCACAGTCTTAACATGGCCTGCTGTGAAAATGCCATCATTGTAAATATTGCCAGCTGCCCTAAAAAAAGAGTTCTTTTAATTTGTTCCTGGAAGGGGGCCTTTTCATCAAGTCCCAGGCAAACCCATGATAAACACTGGTTTCCTTTTAACCCCCTATTTGTTTACACATTCTAGCTTTGAATTTTGAAGGACGAATGTGATTTTTTTTCAATTTTATATTATTTACAAGGTAATATGTTTACAATACGAAATTCCAAGACACAAAAATCTCCATCCAGTTCCTATACCCCAGCCGGCCTTTTCTTTCCCCAGAGGCAGCCTGGTGTCACCCGCTTCTCGGATATCCTTCCAGAGATCATCTGTGCACATAGGCACATGCACTCATACGCATGTGTGCTGTCACACGTATGCACTCTTTCCTTGTACACAGATGTGAGCGTGCTGTAGACCCTGTTTTGCATCCTTTTTTATATTTAACGATGCACATGTCTTGGATTCTTTTCCAGCTCATAAAAACTGTCCACACCCAGTAAGTTTTTTACAACCGTGTAGGAGTCCGTTCGTGTAATTGTGCTGCACTCAGCCAGTCCTCTGCTGACGGACTTCTAGGTGGTTCCAATCTTTGCCGTTGCAGGCGGCGCTGAAATGGCGGTGCACACGTCATTTCAGATGTACAGGACACACGTGTGGGATACTGCTTAAAAGTCATTAGTCCTCTAGAAAACTGATGCTGAAACCTTAGTTTATCCATTGCATGTCATCTTCACAACAAAAAGTTATCTTGTACAGTATCGGAAAGCTTTTCAGAGACTCAGTAGAACTCTACACATTTAATAAAATTTCTTTCCTCAGCGTTTCTACTTGTGATTAATTAACTTCTGAATTTCAGACCTTTTTAACGCTGTCATTACAAGACATGGCAAGTCGTGTGCAGTTATCTGGACCTCAGGAGGCAGAAAAGTATGTCTTGCACATGGTGAGTGTGTTGCTGTTTTTCAAAAAGTAATCACTGTATTTTTGTCCTTGTAAAGGTAACAGGTGTTTACGATAGAAAATACAAAGGCGGACGAAGGGGGCCCATCCAGCGTCAACCACTGTGGACATTTTCGTCGATTTCCTTACAGTCTTTGGGGTTTTCCCGTGACATGTACTCATGTGTCACACACAGTGGTGTCTTAGCAGTGCTCCGTATTTATATTTTCATTGTCACAGTTTTTGTGAATATCATTTAAAACACTCACGAAATACTTCAGATAATACAAAGAGACACAAAGCAGTGCTGCTCTGCCTGCTGGTCTGTGATGACCCCACGGACGAGCCATATGTGGGGCAGGGCCCTGCTGCCCTGAGGAAGTCCTGTGCAGCGAGGTAGGGGCCTGGTGACCTCATGGGTGGCAGTCTGACTCACCCCCCTCCTGGGCGGTGTCACCCCGAGACCACACTCAGAGCAGATCCCCACGCTCTCAGCTCCAGCTGCAGATAGCAAATGTCACAGGACACCTGAGACCCGTTTACTTCCCAGTTGTAACTCCCCACTCCCCAAATTTAGATGCGCATTTATTTTATTTGTTTTTTAAAGGTTGGCATTTTTATATTTATTTATTTACTTACTTACTTATTTTGGCAGGGCTGCATTGGGTCTTCATTGCGGTGTGTGGGCTTCTCATTGCGGTGGCTTCTCTTTTTGCCGAGCATGGCTCTAGGCACGCGGGCTTCAGTAGTTGCGGCACGCGGGCTCAATAGTTGTGGCGCACGGGCTTAGTTGTTCCACGGTATGTGAGATCTTCCCAGACCAGGGCTCGAACCCGTGTCCCTTGCTCTGGCAGGCAGATTCTTAACCACTGCGCCACCAGGGAAGTCCCTGGATAAGCATTTAAATGACTATGTGGTAACCCACCAAGTTGAAATAGCATCATTTAGTTATTCTGTTACACAAACGCATGCCTCTGATCTGATCCCCAAGAGCAAACCTCTGTCCTTAGCCCGGGTCAGGCACGTCTTCTCATGTAGAAAGTCAGCATTCTGCGTTTTCTGCTAGTGATCTCCCCTGTGATGTCAGGATTGCTGCCAGGTCCGGATTAGGAGTCATGAAACTGTTTTCAGTGTGATAATGGAGTATTTTCTTTCCATAGTTCAATTTACAAATGTTTGGAGGTTTTTTCCTTCAACGTAATCCTCCAAACACAGAGACACACATCCCAAACAAACAAAACCCGTCCCACCTCCCCAGCCTCGGAGCGCCTGCTGAGAGCACCTTGCCGCCCACAGGGTTTTGTCCCGTGGGTCAGCCGCACACCTCCCCGGACTTGCTCGTCAGCGGTGCGGACACAGCTAGCGAGGTGCTTGCCCAGCCCAGACGGACCCTGACAGGCTCCAGACCCGCTGGCGGTGTTCTATCTGCCGGAGACACGTGGCATTTGCCAGGGCAAATGTCTGAGGGCGCTTCTGGTCGTCACAGCTGGGGGTGCTGCTCACATGTAGCGGGTAGAGCCGGGGGCACTGCTCAAGCTCCCACGATGCAGAGGACTGCGCCCGCCACAAAGAATTGTCTGGCTCAAAACGTCAGGCCACACCTGAAAAATCCTGCCCTACCGTGGAAAATTTATGAAGGCAGGGGTTCTTTAAATAAGACTCAATTTTTTTAGAGCGGTTTGAGGTTCATAGCACAATTGAGGGGAAAGGACAGGGCTCCCCGCCCCACACGTGCACAGCTTCCCCTTATCAGTATACCTACCGGGTGGGACAGTTCTTAGCAACTGACAGCACTACACAGATGTGTCACCATCCCAAGGCCTTAGTGTACATTAGGGTTCGTTCATGGTGTTGGATGTTCTGTGGGTTTGCACAGGTGTATAAGGACACGGGTCCATCATTATAGTATCGTGCGGAGTATTTTCATGGGTTTGCACAGGTGTATAAGGACATGGGTCCATCGTTATAGTATCGTGTGGAGTATTTTCATGGGTTTGCACAGGTGTATAAGGACATGGGTCCATCATAGTATCGTGTGGAGTATTTTCATTGCCCTGAAAGTCCTCTGTGCTCTGCCTATTTGTCCCTCTCCCCCTCCCCCACCCCCACTGATCTTTTTATTGTCTCTACAGTTTTGCCTTTTCCAGAATGTCATATAGTTGGAATCATACAGTGTGTAGCCTTCTCAAACCTGCTTCCAGCCCTACCTCTGCCTAGAAAGGTTATTATTATCCTGATATCTAACGGCCTAGTTTTAGTCACGTCCTATTTTTGAGTTTTATATAAAAGGCAACGTACAGCATATGTACTGCGGAACCTGGCTTTTTTTGCTCAACACCATGAGATTCATGCACAGTGTTGCGTATCATCGTAGTTGGTTCATTTGCAGGGCTGCAGCGTTCCACTGTACGAGGCTGCCTTTCCGTTCCCATCAGGGGACGCTTGGGTTGTTTCCAGTTGTAGTTACTACAGAGAGTGCCACTGTAGTCAGCCCGGTGTGCATGTCCTTCCCCTTTGTGAAGAGGCAGCTCTCTTTGCTCATGGGGTCAGAGTTACGCCTTCTGTTTAGTGTGTGTTGGGCTGTTGGTGTTTCATTAACTGGGGCCCATCCCTTTCCAGGATGGAAAGGAGCAGACCAACTCAGGCAGCTCAGTTCCACTGTGACAGACCACTGTCACCTGGGGAGCAATTTGTTAGAATAACACCTGTTTGGGATTTTATTGGCTTCTCGCTTTTTACTTCATGGACAGGATTTGGCAGTGAAGTTCAAACAGATAAATCCCCAGTTGTTGATGCGAAGAACAAAGACCTTGAAACTGCCTTGGAATCAACATTGGCAGAAAAGTTTTCTTAAAGGACCAGAAGACAATTTCTACTGGGGTGAAACAAAAATGTGTTAGGGTTTCACTTTTTAAAATGCAACGGCAACGTCAGTTATATCTCACAGAAATTTTCTAAAGATGTAAGGGCACTTCCGAAACATTATGCTAGAGAAGCAAGACACGGAGACCATATATTGTCTGACTCCATTTATATGAAACATCCAGAACAGGCAAATCCATGGGGCAGAAAGTAGCCTAGTGGGTGCAGGGGGCTTGGGAGGAGGGGAAGTGGGCAGTGACTGCCTAAATGGGGCGGGTTCCCCGTGGGGGCAGTGAAATCTTTTGAAACAGGGTAGAGTTGGTGGCTGCACATCGCAAGTGTAGTTGAATCCTCTGAATTGTTCACTTTAAAATGGTTAATTTGGGACTTGCCTGGCGGTCCAGTGGTTATCACTCTGCGCTCCCAATGCAGGGGGCACAGGTTCGGTCCCTGGTTGGGGAACTAAGATCCTGTATGCCGCATGGCCAACTAAATAAATAAACTAAAGTGGTTAATTTACCTCATGTGGATTTTACCCCTTCACATCTGTCTTGGTGCAGAGCACGTGATAGGTGTTTAACAGATATCTTTGAATAAGCAGGTGGTGCTTCTAAATACACATGCAGATGTATTCATTGCTTTCTGTGACTTCTCCTGATTGTATTGAAACACTGCATATTCACATCGTTTTGGGGTCTAAACTGCTTTCCTGATTTTTCTTTTATAGATAGAAGATGGTGAAATTTTTGCAAGTATTAATCAGAAGGATGGGATGGTCAGTTTCCATGATAACCCTGAAAAATATAATAACCCCGCCATGCTTCATAACATCGATCAGGAGGTAAATATGAATGCCAGGTGTTTTGGGCTGATGCTTATGATGTTATACCTGAAACACTGACTCTATATTCCGAGATAATTTTAGCTCTAAATACGGGTAGTTCCCAACTAGTTTTCTAAGAACATCTTATTTCTTAGAAAGTTAATTTCAAGGTGGACTCTCCCAGGTTGTACGATTATAAGTAGATGGTGGGTGAGCTTATTTGTCTAGCTCACCAAAGCCTCCTTCAACTCCTGAAACAGTTGAAGGGTCTTAGAATCGGTACGGTTTTATCCGTACCCAGTGGCCACCTATACTGTAGAGCCTTCAGTAATGTGAATCTGGAGCCCCAGCTCAGGAAGTCAGGAATCCCCTGTCTCTGCTGGGGGAGAGCGGGCAGCTGGAGGAGACGAGCCGTCCGCGGTTGCCCCTGGGCAGCAGCGTGGGCCCCGGAGCACATCCTGCTCCGAGTGCTTGCCGGGATCTGGACATGAGCCAGGAGTGTGTGGGTGGTCTGGTTTCTTACCTCTGTTTAGGCAAACGGATTGAACTGAACAGCTCCAGAACCTTCAAAGCAGTATGTCTCCACAGTCTGTTTTTGGCCATTCCAAGTTTTCTTTAAAAAACCCTGAAAACGGGAAGGTTTTTTTTGTAACTCATGTGATGGCAAATGAATATTTTTAGGTTTCACTGCAAAAGATGTCAGCGTGTTTGATGACGGGGTGCTGCCCCAGGTCCTGCTGTACTGTGTTGCTGACGGAATCCAAAACTTCTGACTCCAGAATTCATCTGGCCCCAGGGTTGTGACCCTGTAGCACCCACAGTAATAGTCTAGGCTAAAAAGGTGAAGTTGCCCTAAACCCGCTCACTCAGCGCATCCACACCTGTCTGCCACGCAGATGCTGAGGTGCATAGAGCTGGACGAACGGCTGAGGGCCATGGACCAGGAGATCACAGTGAACCCCCAGTTCGTGCAGAAGGTGACTGGGGCCCCCTCACTCACGGAGTGGGCTGGGCGGGGCGGGGTGGCATCCTCCATCAGGTGTGTGAGCTTGTGCCCAGAAGCCATATCGGGGAGGCTCACAGAGACATACTCGTTGGGGACGTTTCCAGACTCCAGGCTGGAAGTGTGTTTAGGGATGAGGGTGGGGGTCCTGGACCTGCCTCCCCTGCACACGGGGTGGCGTCTTCGGGGGCGTAGGTGTCCGGGGCTGGCGGGAAACCCTTGGCCAGGGCAGACAAGTGCACTGCCTCTCTCCCTCCCTTCCAGAGCATGGGGTCACAGGAAGACGATTCGGGAAACAAGCCATCCAGTTATTCCTGAAGCCAGTGCCCCTCCTGAGTTTCAAAGAAGCCTTCTCCGTGTACGGGGCAGGTGTCGGGAAGGCAGCAGGGAGGACCAGGCCCGTCTCACCTAGACACTAAGGCGGTGTGTTTTGTTTTGACGTCTTCGGTCCTGTGTGCTTTCAGAAAACCATTCTCTCTGCAAAGAAAGGAAAACGTTTTCAAACTTTAAAGCCTGTTGTGGATTTATTTATCCTCAGATTAATGTGGTTATTGCATTAAATCTACCTTTTTGTTTTAAATTATTTGAACATTGGCGTGTCTTCTGTATCACTTTTTTCCTCAGAAAAGCTTTTAACAAACATATTCATTGTGAACAGGTACAGATTTTAGGAATTATTGGAAGATGTGAATCTAAAGTTGATATCAGGGGACTTCCCTGGTGGCGCAGTGGCTAAGAATCCACCTGCCAATGCAGGGGACACAGGTTCGAGCTCTGGTCCGGGAAGATGCCACATGCCGTGGAGCAACTAAGCCCGTGGGCCACAGCTACTGAGCCTGAGCTCTAGAGCCCGTGAGCCACAACTACTGAACCTACGTGCCACAACTACTGAAGCCCGCGCGCCTAGAGCCCCTGCTCCACAACAAGAGAAGCCACTGCAGTGAGAAGCCCGCGCACCGCAATGAAGAGTAGCCCCCATTCACCGCAACTAGAGAAAGCCCACAGGCAGCAACGAAGACCCAAAGAAGCCCAAAATAAATTTATTAAAAAAAAAGAAATTTTCCCTCTATCAGTGTGGCAAGTTACACAGTCTTGTTTTTATAAAAACAATTGGACAACTTCTGATTTACCTGGATCTGAACTAAAATCACCTCAACTGTGTTCGAGAATTCTAGTAGTTGCCAGTCACGGCTATTTAAGGAAAAAGTAACTTTCTTGTGGGCTCCTCATGTGGACACTACTAGATTTTTCCCCGAATAGTGATTCATTGAAACACCGCATTATTTTGAAACTTTGATTTCCAGAGGGCCCGGTGTTTAGGGCCTGGTCCCACGTTCTCAGGGCACTCACGTGAGCCCCTCCTGTCGGGGTTGGGGAGGAGGGCCCTCACACCTGCCCTCGTGTGTTCTCTTGGTTCCCGGGCTAGAGCTCTGCAAACCTAGGGAGGGAAGGAGCAGGCCCCCCTGCAGTCGGCTCAGGACCCTGGCAGGGTGCTGGGGATCCGCCTCACTGCAGCCCCCGTGTCCACGTGGCAATAAGCCCAGGAGGCAGGCCTCCCCCTTCACAAACCGTCGGGGACCCAGTTCCACTGGGCACCTCCTCCAGCCACCTACATTCTATGAATCCCTTGGGAGACTTTTTTCCCTTTTCTAATGTGTGGTTAATGGCTCTGCTACATTGTTTCTATTCAACTGGCCAGCGGTTTCTCTCGACAGCAGTGGCTTTTGAAAATCTTGGGTCAAGATGAGTGGCCTCGTTTGTTACTAGAAGTGAGCATGAGACCCCACATGCTGAGCAGATGTTGCCTGGCACTGCCTGAGTCTCGTTTTTGAATAGTTACCAGAATCTGTTTGCGTGAATAGTTAAGATAGCCTCAGCTATTCCTTGGAGTTAATTCTCAGCAGCAGCTCCCTTTGTGAACACGTTCACTTATGAATACCTGTAGCATTTTGATGGTGCCCGAAGATGGTGAGCTTGCACCTAGGCAAGTAGGGCAGTTTCTGAGGTCCAAGGATGTAGCCTGGGGTTGGTGTTCATTAGTGGACCTACTGTTTCTCTGTGGACTCTTAAAGTGTGTCTTTTCATGGTGCTCTCAAATGTTAATAAGTACTCCAGATTAACGAGAATAACTGATCACCCTCAGAATTCAGTCCTTGCGTTATATGTGTTTCTATTTGTATCGGTGCCCAGTGGGAACCCCCCCGCCTCCCCTCAAAGGACAGTATTCAGCTTCTAGTCTAGACTTTATTACGTGAGTAGCTTGGTCTGCGGGGCCTCCAGTTTGAGATATACTGGTATAAGGTATTCTTTAAAGAAACATCTGGTTGCATGTTTTTGAAATGACAGTAGATGTTTTCTGAGCCAAAGAATGGTACTAAATGGGCAATAATGGAATTTTTCTGGCCTGCATGGAAGGCACCTTCTTTACTTTGTTTAGTAAGTACATCGGAATCCCAAGCAAAGCTGGATAATAGAACATTCCTGGGAAGAATCCTAACTAGCCCTAGTAACAGGATATAATGCCTGTGTCATCTAACCAGGGACAAATGCTTTTACTTTTCTAGTACATAATTTAGCAGAGGGTCTTATAAACCTCTCTTAGCTTTTTAAGCGTGGCATTCACAGGTGGACCGTCCTTGTTCACATTCCCTCCTCTGTCTATGCCAATGGTCAACTTGTGTTCTAATTCTCTTCTATTACTTGCTTTTCAAAGATGCAGTTTTGGATTTGTAAATTCTAAGTTTCTGGGTTGCAACTTGAAACAGTAGCCGATTTGCAGAAGAAAACTGTTATTTGCATGTAAGCCTGAGCAGTTGCAAAGGGCCCAGAGAAAATAAATGACAGGGTAAATCAGATACTTGTGAATGGGGAAATATGATGGCTACTCTTTTTAGGCAGTTAAATTACTTAACGGTGGTGCACAAAGACAAAATCCTATCTGTATCCTGTTCTAAAATCAAAAGCTGAAACCAGAGAACTTTTGCTAACTGTAAAAGGCATTTAATAAGCTTGTATCCATAATGGACTGTTAAAGTTTATTATTGGACTAAAAAGTAGCTGCTTGGGGTTTAAGAAGCGGCTAGTATTAGATTAAAACACAAGCAAGCTATCAGTTGAATTCTAATTGGGGAGGAGAATTAATTTTTTTAAAGTTTCCTGAAAGTGCTGTGATAAAAAATGCAAAATAAACTGTAGGGTTTTTTTTTTTAATAAGAGATAATATTGGACGACTAGTAATTCTTGCCTTGCAACTGGCCGGACACCTTATACGCAGAGTTGACTGTCTAATATCCCAAAACCTCAACGTGATATACAAGTCCTGCACGAGTTCTCCTTCTGAAATATTACCCATTACTTGCTTGCTGCCGTTCAGCAGCTGGACAGACTCCCAAACTGTTATACATATCTAAAAACCCAGGGAATGCAAAAAATGAAAGCTGAGATGATTATTTATTCTTATAACAGGGAACCTATTATAGTACCCTTAAAATAATGACATGATTAAAAGTGTTAGATCCAACTTGCCTACAAATAAAACATACCTCTTCCTTCTGAAACTGAAAACTAATTCAGGGACATGGTGGTTTTGACTCAAAGATAAAGCCCAGCTGTATTCTATAGCTACACAAGGGCATATGTTAGGGAGAGTGCACCTGAAAACCTCAAAGGACATTTTCACAGTGAGACTTTTACTTTTCTCTCTTCACTTGGCTCTGTGGTCTTGGCAACTGGCATCCGTGAAGCACCCCCTCAGTCTGGATGCCCAGCTGTCAATACATCCCCAGTAAAGCCCCTTCGTTTGGCAGTAGGAAGGCAGAAAAGCATCAAGAAATCTTTAATTCTGATTGAGCCCATTTCAGTGATGGAAAAACATGTTCTGGACTATAAATGCCAGGCAAGAGTACATCCAACACTTTTGGTAACATTTCTTAACATTCCTGTTATGGGATAGAAGCTCTGAGTTTAGCATGGTATTTCATTTAGTTGAGCATTATTGGGGATTATTGCCACCTATACTTTGTGAACATTGCTGCTGAGTTTTGATCGCCTTTCCCACTGATAAGGTGGGTTACATTTTCTGACCTCTGACATGTCCCTTTTGTTGAATGTCCCTAAAAGTTTATCCTCTTTGAGTAGGTTAATTCACCCTTGGTACAATTCACTAATTCAAGGAATTGCCCTGTAGTTGTTACTTTTAAACAGATCTATAGATTTATTTGAGAAAGCACCTCCAAAAGTGGTGCTGGCAAAGATATTAATGGCATAAATGGGGTCGAGCTGCCGTCGAATGCGCGTTGAGTTTTATTGAAAATGTCAGTGGTTGAATAAACCTTCCTTCACTTGGGACCTCCATTAGCCTATCATCATGGAAATAAGGATAATCTGATCAAGATGGTGTCCTCCAGTGACAAACTGAGGAAGTTAATTCCTGGAATTAAAGTTACAAAATGAAAAAGCAATTTTTTTTCTTGGCTTGAAACCCGACTAAACCAATGTTTCAAGAACTACCACTAAGAGAAAATGGGAAATAACAAGATTACAGTTGTTGGAAATGTTTTCTTTTACAAGTTGGAAAGGCACAGACATACTAGGAGGCTGCAAACATTTCTGGAACCTTTCCACTAAGGCTTTCAAAGAGCATTTGGCAAACTCAGTAAAATTCATGAGCCAGAGAGAAGCGGCCCCGCAAGTCAACCAGCGGCCCTCGGCCTCGCCCTCGGCCACGTCACATCACGCCCTGAGCGCTTTCGGACTGACCTCTAAGTACATAGGCTGAATAAAAGGGGTCCAGGTTCAAGAAGATTATCACTCGATAACTACGTTTTTTTAAAAAACTTGACGCGCTGCTGGGTAGGGAAGAGAGGGAGCCAGTCGCGCATGCGCACCCCACCCCGCCTTCCCCGGCGTCGCGCAGTTCGTGCGTCACCGGGCGACCGTCTCCCGCCCCGCCCCCTGCCCGCACGTTCCACCGAAGACTGGTTTCAACGGAAATTTAATGAAAACTAACGGTGAAACCAAAAGGAATTACAGCGTCATTTATAACGTCGCGACGTTCTCTTTCTTTCTTTCTTCGGTGTGGACTGGGAGTCCTAGGATAGATATATTTTTCCTCAAATCTCTTTAAAAACTTTTTTTAATTAAAGTATCCTTCCCCCCTTCTGGAATGGTTTCCTCCGCCGCCCCCGCCTGCGCGGGCGGAACCACTCCGGGCTTCTCGGTGGGGGCACGGGCTGGGGCGGCGGAGGGGGTCGGGCCGCTGTTGCAGCGTTCCGCCGGACTTTGGAGCTGCCGGGCTCGTGCTGTCTTCCCGGGCTGCGAGTCTGGTGGGGCTCCGCCCGCCTCGCGGGGTGGGGGCGTCGGACGGCCCGCTCCCCCTCCTCGGCCCGGGCGGTGGTACCTCCCGGCCGAGTCACGCGCCCCGAGGCGGGCGCGGCGGATCTGTGAGGGTACACGGTGAGGAGAGCCCCTTCGCGGACCCGGAGGGAGGCCGAGAGAGTGGGGAGGGGGGGAGGGCCGGAGGGCGCGACGCGACGCGACCTGGAGCTTGGAGCCAGGGCGGCTCCCCGGCCTGTCCGGTCAGTC